ATATAGTAAGTTGAACAAGATTATTTACACAAACAGAATATATACAGGCTGGGGGGCTGGAACTACTACAGAAACTACCACTCGCTCGGCCCTCTCAACCACCGTGTCTCCACTGAGAGAGCGGAGTCAGAGGAACGTTCCTTGGTGGCCTTCTGTGTCTTCTTCTTCTTGTGTAACCTTGTGTGTATTGGCGGTTAATACAGCATTACCACCACCTAGTGGATTGAAAGCGCATTACACCTATAATGGGCTTTTATTGGGAAATATAGCTCAAATGCGACCCACAGTGGTAAAATTAGGTATATAATTCGATATATCGGTTTGGTTAGATATTTGGCTTTAAATCAAACCAGTTGGAAAATTTTCAAACCGGCACAAGCCTAGCCGCTAGCCTAAAAGTAGTTATGGGATTGGGCTTGAGGTGTACAAGTACGAGAACTGCAAGGAGAGGGAATGAGACAGTTTCAAGATGAGGCGAAAGATGTGACCAGATAATCATAATTTATAGAAATACAACACAGTGAGGATACAGACATTTCATACACCAGACATATATAATGTGGACCTGGCAGATGCACATTTAACCCGTGTTGGATTAGGGTTGGGTACCGAAACTCGGTACTTTTTGTACTTGGTACCAGTTCACGTCGGTACTACCGAGTACCGATTCACTTAAAATGAATCGTGCCAAATTTCGGTACCTGAGGTGGAGGCGGAGGGAGAACGCATCACTCGCACCTCAGACTCAGCAACAATGGCGACAGAAAAAATGTGCAGACAAAAGTTAACGTGCAGCACTGTTCCTAAATGTTCTTAATAAAATTTTGAAACTGAGAAGTTTAGACTATGGGCTCGAACAAACAAAACAACAAATTCACACCTGTTCTTCTTTGTGGATTTTCTCCGCGACCGTGCGTCATAGCGAGAAGCCACACATATCACATGAAACGGCAGAACTGTAGCTTTCCGACAAGACCACGCACTTGTTGGTAATCCAATGTTTTCACAGCGAAAAAATTGATAAATTTACAATAAAATGATGTATAACAAAGCTTTCATAAAGCTTTGCACACACATTACTGTTGGATGGATTACTCGCGAATGCAGGCTCGCACAGAAATGCCACGCATATCACATGAAAGCGCAGGACCACACACATCATTGTGCTGTCATCCCATCACGCTGTGAATCCAGATCAATTGTCTACAAAATAAAAACCTGACGAATTTCTTTACAACCCATTATACAGATCTTGTTATCAGTCACTTCATATAGTGAGGAATATCGTATCTTACCACGTCTTAGGCTTGCGTGTGTTTCTCCCTGTCTATCCACATTTGTAGTCCAGCTTTCAAGATGCAAACATCTCCATATTGTCCAGTTGACACTCCATCAAACTTTGTATGACAAGACCAGCCACTTCACCTCTGCGCACCCAGACAACTGCAGCCTAATTATGCATGCTGACAGGGCCGTAGTCACCATATACATTGAGGGGGACACTGTTGCTGCTACATGTTATCGTAACGTTTGTTGCTGTGATATTGAACCCTCATAAAGTGTTTGATCCATAACCTTGAATGATTATAATTACTAGTCAAAGAGCCTTCAGTCTGAACCTCATGTTGAGTCAAAGCATTGCATGTTTTTGCATCATTGTTGGCAGAGCTGATTTTAAAATGACGTAACCGCACAGCTAACTGCAACAGAGAGGAAGAGGAGTGATCTGTAGATGAGAGAAAAGTAGAGAAGCTGTTACTTTGAAAGTTTGGGTGCAGCCCTGCTTAAAGGTCTCAACTAAAACATATTTTCGTGAAAATTAAGGCTGTTAAGCGATTAATAAAAAATATGCTCTGTGAATAATTAATTAGAATTAATCGCATATGTTAATTTTTGCTGCGAAAGTATTTGAACATTTCAATTCAAATTCATTTTTTTCATTTGTGTCGCAGTGAAGCTGCTGGATTTTGGACACAGTTGTCCCCCTGTCCTCTACCACCCAAATTGGTCTGCTAGTGCTAACATCAGAGGCTGTGCCAGCTCAGACCACCGGGTTCACTGCTAAATGTTTTTTGTTGAGGTGATATTTCAGGCTTCAAGTTCTCTGATGGTACGAAA